CTTGATGGAGCCATATGCATGCATATGTAGGAATTGGTAATCATGCTTAGCAAAGCTTAGTATAGATTATTAATGATGTATTACAATCCATCCGCACGAATTATTTATGCATAAACAATTGAAAAATTTCCAAAATTAATTGTTTAAATATTTATCATTATTGTTATCAATACTATAATTTCAATTGTATCGGGAATTTCGAATGGTTTTATGTTGAGTTGGATATTTGTGAAACAGTTTTGTTAATCAATTTGGGACTTTCCGAAGATTTTGAAATTTTCATTTATTTTTTTTAAAATATTAATATAACTAGCAGATAAATATTACAATTTATGGTTTACTGTTGTTCATTTTTACACAAGAAGAAATTAGCCGCGATTAATTGTAACCCATGTTGTTCAGCAAAAAGGCGAGCCTTAAATCCACCACGAGGGGAAGGTACCGCTTGAAATTCGAGATGTGAATCAGGTTGACGATATAGCAAGAAAACATATCGGTGGAATCCTGTGCCAGGAGGAGGAGTAGGTCCGTTATAAGAAGTGATCACAGTTGCTTCGGATAAATTTCCTGAATCTAATCGATGAATAATAATAATTAAAATTTTTGGTTTCTTTTTTTGAAGTTCAAGAAAAGGATAATCACGTGGAATATTTCCAATTATCCAATGACGCCATTCCCTGTTCTTTGGTGTAGCACGACTTGGTGCGTCTGGATCAACCTGTATTAAAAAGACATCAGATAAATATGGTAAGCCGCATATATATTATTATTTGATAACGTTTACCATCAAAAGCGTATATCGAGAATTTTCGTCGTCCGCAAAAAATTCGATACTCGGAGCATCTTTGGTTTCTTTAAAACATTTTACAAATTGTTATAAATTGTTAAAATCATCATACAAAGCAGCAAAAAAAAGAAAATAAAGGAGTAAAACCAAGTACCATTAATAGTGAATTCGTTTCCCAGCTCTGTACTTTTCTCGCCGTACTTAACACTCAAAATTGCGGTAGGGACAAAGTCATCAACAACTAGAATAACATTAGGATGGATTTGCATTCAATGTAAATCAAAAAAAAATAAAAAAATAAAAAATAAAAATGAAAACCATACATACCATCAGGAGTAATACCAGCGTCTTTCAGAGATGCTTGAGTGGATTGAGTTGCAGTAATAAGCATGTTGGGTATCAAACGGAAATCAAAAATGTAAATTTCCCGACTTTTATAAATAAAATTAACTTGTTAATGAGATATTAATTAGCTCATAGTTTGATGATCGTTTCGCGTTTTTTTTACGCCAAATTCGCCCGATTTGGTCTAAATATTTTTTTGAAAAAAAAAAATTTCGCTAAAATTTATTTTGTTCTTGCAAGTTTGTACCATGGTAATTAAGCGTAAACTTAGAAACTCGAGTTCGAATACTTCTGTTCCAGTACCAGAAGTTAAGCCTGAGGAAACAACAACGCCCAGTCCTACACCCTTGAAGGTTGAACGACGCGGGCGACCACGTAAACCTGATAATGGCGAGGAAGTAACGAACGAAAAACCTCTTAAAGTTTCTCGTACGATCGAAAACTTTAAAATTATTACTTTTAATCCTAAGGGTACCTCCAGTGGTAAGGGCAAGGAAAAAGAGGCAACTTGCTCTCCTACAGAATTTCCTTCAGAGTAAGAATTTTCATAATTATCATTAATCATTGTCTTAATTTGTACATTATTGTCGAGAATTTACGTTTCTACTCTTATGGTTTTAGACCAGTCTATAATGAACCAATACCGCAATACGATTCTAACTTTGTTGAAGTTCCAGAAGGTGAATATATAATATTACGCAAATGAGGTGTTTAATCAGAGAAAGTAACTTTTCAACCAACCTTTCCAGTTTACTCAGGTAATAATATTTTGCAAAATCCAAAGAATGCGCGACCACGTAAATGGATACGAAGAAAAGTAGTTATTAAAACCACCGGAGCCGAAATAGCTGTTCCCGTGTGGTACTCAAGTATGTGAACTTTATATTAAAATATTTTGAAAGGGTTCTTTACAAAAATCTTAACGCGTTTATACTTGAAATTTTTAATAGATGAATCGAGAAATTTGAGTAATTATCATGGGACGACTACTTAGTTAAAATTAAGATATTTAAAATAATTCTATTATATAATTTATGATTCATATTAAGAGAATTGCTTAAATAATAATTTAATGTTATATATATTAGTTCATCTTTCTTTTATTATATGTTCTGATTTAAATTTTGGAATCTTATTATTAAAATGATGAAACAATTTAAGACCAGGTCTCACTATACACTATCCGTTATGTCTCAAAGCCAATTCAAATATGTTTTCCAAGAGAGGCACTTTGTTCTTCCTCGCTTTCAAATCAAATTCATCTTAGCAGCTTTAACCAACTTACTTCCCAAGTAATTATTTTTCAGAAAAATGAATTATGGGATGAAGCTAACATTTTAGAACGTCTTTATTATAAAAATAAAAATCAACATCAACGTTCCATATATTTTCGTAAGATCGTAGAGGTGGTCTTCTTGTCATTCATAATACTATATCATTTTATGGTCTTTAAGTTTATTCTAATTCGGTTTAAAATTTTTAGATAAGAAGAATGTTAAAAAGAATTAAAGAGATGGAGATTAATGTATTGATGTCTGAATTTTTAGGAAATTTTTACAGTACAAAAATGTAAGTATTTCCTTAAAAATGAAAACTTGTTTGCCATAAATCTTCACTTAAATATATATTACATTTGCAAGAAGCGGAAAAGCACAAAATACGTGGGATCAAGTACCATCTCAAGAAATGGTCGTTTTCGTTATGAATCGATTAATTTGCGTAGCCTTCTTAATGAATAAGGTGGGCAATTTGAGTTCTTTTTTAAAAAAAAAGATATATATAAATCTAACGACATAAATTGTATATTAGGCTCTGGGCACGTTCATCGACACCTTCGAGTATTTATCGTATTTACATATCATTCATGCGTACCTTCGTTAAATATAAATTGAAGATTTTGTTTTGTTTTATTGACATAGTACTTTTAACGCTCTCCTCCGCCAAACTGAATTCATGTCATTTGCTTTGACGTGTCTGGCAATCCTTGCAAGGTTAAATATTTTAACGCGTGTATTGCTCCAAGAAATTAAAAAATGCTATGGATTGCTAAAAAATTGGGTTAAATCTTTTCCGGTAATTATATTATTTTTATAAACATTTTTATTAGTCCCTTTCTTATGATATTTTGGCTTATGAATCTTCTCTTCATTATGCAGCGATCTTCTTCAACCAGCCAGACAGATTTTGATAACGAAATTAACAAATTACCTGAATGTTTATAAATTTTTTTTTTTTTTTTGAATTATATTAATAATAATAATTGTTATTAATATAAAAATATTTTTAAAATTTTATCTTATGGGACTTTTGAATTAATCATTCTTGATCAATAATGCACGATTAATTTGAAAAATGATTGAATTTTTTGTCAAAATATAAAAATTTGTATCATTTATCACGGTTTAAATGATTTACAATTTCATTATAAAGCCGCAACAATCTTCTCTACATCAAATTTGAAACTAGACATGGGATTTTTATCATAAATAAAAGATAAGACATTGTTTTCTTGTGATTTCGTACCACTGGGAGGAATAAATCCTTGAATCCGATCAAGAAGCTCACGACGAACACGTATATCCAGTGTTGACTCAACAAGTTTGTTATTATTACCGGAAGGTTGTAATACACGTTGATCGTCATGTGAATCTGTATTATTAGGTGCATAATTAATTCGAGTGAAATCATCCACAAATCGGTCGTTACTCCTTTCATCTGTCTCGTTAGTCATATTGAAATTATTTGATCGTCCGTAATCTTGCAATAATGTTGAAGATTTACTGTTAGCACTCGAGACGACAATTTTTGGAGAAGTAGGATTGCTTTGCGGTAAAGATGACGATTTGATAAAACGCAGCAATGACTCGTTATTCGTATGTAGTAGATTGCCTGATGAGATCGGAGTACCTAATCGTTGAATAATACTCGGTGAATTACTGTAACTTGTACTTGCATTCGAAAAGATAATACTTTGATGATTGACTGGGTTGTCAATTGAAGAAATGTTGATCATGGAACCATTACCAGAAGTTGGAGTGGTAGAAAACAACCCCAATAGTGACAATTTACGTGAAACTTCACGAGTATTAACATTATTCGTAGGTCGACCTTGTCCAATATGTCCAATGTTAGAAGATATTTTTGGCGTCATCATGCTTCTATCGTATGTAGGATCCCTTTGGTTTGTGGAATTAGGTATTATTCCTAATGGTAAATTTGATGCTAAATGATTATCATTTTGAGGAATACTTTGATTTATATGATGTTGAAACATATTAAATATGGCATCATTTGATGACTTTATATTATCGTAAGATTCTGGCAAATATTGTGCTTTGGTTTGTTGTAACTGATGTTGGATGATATCATCATGTGTCAAGTTTTTCGAAGGAATTGCACTAATAGCTAATGTTTCCGGTTGAAGCACATTCAGCAAAGATGTTCTTCGTTGTGTATCATATTCGACAGTCATTGAAGGAACGGAAACATCCGAGCCAGATTGTTTAGAAGAAGTCGATGAAGAAAATATATTTAATAACGAATTTCGTCGAAGTTTTTGTTCAGGATCCAAAGCAGCAATTGCGACATTTGTATTTGCGTGTATTGGAATTGGGGCAGTTATGTCGTAACTATCTTTGTTGGGAATTGGAGTTTGTGAATTACTATGCGGAATATTTTTCAAAAAATTATTTTGTGAATGATTTGCGTTTAGCTCCTCTGGTGAAAGTACTGAATTTGGACCAAGCTCGGGTAGATTAAATGTTAAAGCCGGTAAGGAAAATTGTCCAAGTTGTGCGCTGATATTCGGAGATTGTTCGTGATGGCTACTTTCACTCTCTGTGCCCGGTACGGAAGTTTCTGGTGACGTCTCCTTGGCGTCCGAAGTTGCAGCATGTCCATTAAATATCACTACTTCAGTTGATTCATCTTGGTTTGATGCTTCAGCGGTTTTCTTACGATTTTTTTTCTGTGTTTTAAGCCAATTTCGCAGTTTGCTTTTATATCGTAATTAAGATAAAAAGTTTAAAAGTTCAATGTACGTTTTAATAGGTGTATTTTTTTTTTTTTCAGATATTTATTCATATGCATACCTCACGAAGGGAACAACCATATAAAATCTACTACTTCCATATTTCACACAGCCACCTCCACAATGGTACGGTGTGTCTCTATCCCTGCTTTTTATCCACGTTGGTAAATCGGCCACCTTATGCCACTCTATCTTCTATTAAAGAGCGTAAAAGATACAAGACATTATATAAATAAATGAGTTATGAATGACATAACACACACACACGCCACATAAAAGATTACATACACTAATTTCTTTTCGTGTTTTGGGGCAAAATTCCGTATCTTCAGGTACACCTACTACTATATACAAGCGTATTCGTTGTTCACGAATTGTTAATTCAACATAATCCTGCTCTTTAATTAAAGGGGAAATATCATATCCGGTTTCTTCCAAAACCTACAAAATATTATGATTCAAATGTTAATTTTGTTTTTTCATAAGTATCAATATATTTGTCTAAAAAAAAAAATGGATATTCACCTCTCTAGCAGCACAGATAGAATCAGGTTCATCCTTATTTATTTTTCCTTTAGGAAAACCCCAACCTGAACGAGAAGACCATCCTTTAACTAATACACACTGATTCATAGATTCACACAAAAATTAAAATGATTTCTTTTTTTTTTAATGGATAACTGATTAGTTAAATAAATGATTACCTTTTCCATGGGTTCATTTAACATAATTGCTCCGCATACGGGGACCCTGATTTTATATTGCATAAAATCAGCAAAGGCCTTTTCATGTTCGTGAGACCATTGATGCAACAAAGGACAATGCTTAAAAAGTGGGAAGGAATTATGGATGTATATTTTTTGTTATAAAGCATGAAAGTTTTTTTTTTTAGGTTCTTGTGAGACTAAAAAATAAAGGATATATTTTGCTGAAAAGTTCTTCAGGTTGAAACTAGGTAAGCTTGGATTTTGTTCTCTAACAAAATCTTCATAAAACCAATGGGCTTGTTCAATTTGAAAACATATCCTTTCAACTGAAGCTAGTTCTTCTTCAGGAACGTTTATTATAAATCGACTTAAATAAATGAAAAAATACGTGTGTGTGTTTGAGATTGTTATATTAAATAAAATTGAAAATATCAACAATTTTTAAAACCTTGATAAATCGTCCAAAATTTCCGCAAAAGTTGCATTTGCAAGAGCCATCTTTTGATCTTTTTTGGAAGTAAATAAATAATAATTTTCAATGTAATAACTTTTAATAGTATTTTTCCCAGGTATATACAAAAAAAAAAAAAAAACTTAATGATGAGAAAAATTTTGTAATCCTTATTTATTCATGATGAATATTGAAGATCTTTTCTTTTATGGAGTAGTACGCCGATCATCACCATTGTTAATTAGCAAATTTAACAATAACGATTGCGCTCAGGAATCCCTTCGTTTTGAACGTCCATGTGCTGTTTAAATGATAAAAACGTCAACTTTAACTTTTTTCTTTCGTGTTTAATCAATCATTTAATGGTCGGAAAAGTCGGTTTTTTGAATGAGAAAATTTAGTATCATGATACATGATAATATAGCGATAACCTTCACTTTAAACGGAAAAAGAATACTTTCTTTACATCATTCACATTTGAAATTATTAAATTCTTATTATTAAATCACCAAAATTTAGGAAAAGTAATTAATTTACTAATCAAAAAATTTTTGATCGTCATTCAAACAATATCTAACCCACCCAAGTTGGATAATCAATTGACCATCCACTCCAATTATAGATGATATCAAATCATGCGACTTTTTTACTCGCGTAACTTTTCTTACCTAAAAACTGTTGCCAAGATGTCTAAACGTAAAAACAACTCGGCTTCTGACGATAACAAAAAGCAAAAAGTAGTCAGCAAAACGCAAAGTTCTCTTGCGTCCTGGGTGAAGCCTCAGCAAACGCGTACAGTTGTTAACTTGGAAACTTTATTCAGTAAAACAGATAAAAAAGTTAAAGAAGTATTAAGTTTAGAGATTGAAACTATGAATAGTGAGTGGTTAAAAGTTTTAAGTGGAGAAATCCAGAAGAGTTACTTTATAGAGGTAATAAAATGTGTATACGTGAAACTTTATTATGTACTTGTAACGCGGAAATAAATAATTGTATCCTTCTTATTTAGCTCAAGAAATTTCTTAAAAACGAGAAAGAGAATAATCAGAAAATTTTTCCACCCGGTATAAATATTTATTAAATAAATGAAAAACAAATTATAACAAAAAAAATTTTAAATGAAGAAAATTATTATTATAGAGCCGGAGATTTATAGTTGGTCGAGATACACCCCACCATCTTTGGTCAAGGTTGTTATTATAGGACAAGATCCATATCACGATGACGGACAAGCTCATGGTTTATGTTTTAGTGTGAAGAACGGTGTCCCGCCACCGCCATCTTTGGTTAATATATACAAAGCATTGCAAAGAGATATTCCGTCATTTCAGATACCAAAACACGGTAATCTTGTTAATTGGGCTAAAGCCGGAGTCCTTCTATTAAATACTTCACTGACTGTACGAGCACATAACGCGGCAAGTCACAGTAATAAAGGATGGGAGAAATTTACCGATGCTGTTATACAATATCTGTCTGAGAAAAAGCATAGATTGGTGTTTATGTTATGGGGAAATCATGCTATTAAGAAGGGAAAAAGTATTAATAAGGTAATTATTAAAAAACTTATGTTTTTGAATATTATATATCAATTGTTAAATTGGTTTATATCGTTTATATTATAAGGCAAAACATCTAGTTCTGGAATCTGTTCATCCGTCGCCATTGTCTGCTCATCGTGGATTTTTTGAATGTCATCATTGGTCTAAAGCTAATGATTACTTGAAAAGTTTGGGTAAAGAAGAAATTAATTGGAATAGTTTAGTAGAAACAACTAATGAAGACTAGACATACCCTATTTTTGTTTTGGTTGTAAATTTTTTTTTGGTATATTTTGTATCTTACATTTAATTCTCTCTCTCTCTCTCTCTCTCTCTCTCTCTCTCGAGAGAGAGAGAGAGAGAGAGAGAGTCTTAATAAATATTAAATAATAAAATAATAAATAATAATTCGTTACTTGTGACGATCGGTTACACAATTTACTGACGCGTCGATATATATAAGAAACGAGAATGATCATTTTTAGGATAAAAATTTCTATTACATAAATAATGTCGAAACGCAGTAGTCTTTCAAACTTTTCGTCAGCCTCACGTTCAAAAAAAGTTAAACAAGCGTTAGAGAGTTGTTTAGGAGGAACATTAAGAAGCTTCAGGTATGCTTCATACGTGTTTACAGACAAAATAACTTTTTTTTTTTACTTTGGATTGATTTATAGTTTCAAAAAAGTTTTGAAAAGGTCGCACAATGCTATCCAACTTTAGCTAAGGAACAGCCCGAAAGACTTCAAGAAGCTCTTAATCAAGTTAAAGAGTTTTTAAAAACAAGCGCTGAGGTTAGAATTATATAAATATATATTATTATTATTATTGTTTTATTATTTTTTAATATATTACCAACTTGATTTTTATTTAAAGGAAGAATTTAATTCCATTTTGGAACAGCGTAAAATACTGGAAAAACTTAATGAATTTGACGATATAATTGCAAAGGCCAAAACACATCAAACAGAAGGTCACATTCCGATTCAACCTACGCAGTAAAGTAACTTTCTCTTTATTAACATCAATGAACATGAATTGCACCCGTAATAATTGGTATGATTTTTATTTTTCAAAAAATACATGCATTAGGAGCAATATTAGTCCAAAAGCAATCATATGCGCCAAGATATTACCGATAAAATTCGAAGAATTGAGAAATTTAGAACGCGAATATTTAACGGTATCTATTAATAATATTGTTATAGACAATTAATTGCACCAGATTTGTTGACTTTATTATTGAAATAGATCAATCAAGAAAATGAATCTCTAATGTCAGAAATAAGGTTAAAAAAAAAACAAATGAATTGCTTGATTCAACCGATTCAAGAGATAATGAGCGAAAGTGATAAGGTATAATACACATCTCATTCATATCATTCATTTTCATTTAAGTGTAATAAAGATGATTATTTAATTTCTTTATCAGGTTGTTGAAGTTGCGGCAGAAATTCCAGTGAATGAAATGCAAGACATCATCGATGATGTTATAAAATTATAAATAATGAATCGTAAATACTCTCAATAAAGATTATAATGAAGACAGCTTGTGTATCTTGCAATTATAACGTATAGACGTTGATTTAATTAATTTATCAAAATTTGTATCAATCATAACGATTGTGCACTTTTACATACATATATTCATTCATCCTCTTAATTTTGTATTAAACTTTTCATTACAAATAAATAACCTTTTATATGATGAAAATTACATTTTGCCTACTTATTTAACATTTTGCCTATTTACTACATATTCCCTTCTGATTTACTTTTATGAAAAATTAAAATTTTTTAAAAAATTGGATATTTTTTTTTTTATAAATGATTTTAGGTTCTTTACCTAAAGTCACTGGTCATTTCCGAAATCAGGGGGTCAAATGGATTTACTAATTAAATATGCAGCTTTTCGATCACTTTTTTTACTATGATTAATTAGTAAAAACTGAAATTTCCAGTTTTTTTATCATATGTAATCCTTAATTTTCCACCAATAAATTTTATCAAATTTTTTTTTTTTTGTCTCTGGGTTAAGACGAACGTTCTGAGACAAATTTTTTCTGCTGTTTATTAATGTTAAATATTATAACCTTTCAAGTAAATGGGAAATTACGCAAACTGTACAAACAAGTTTTGTCTTCAAAAATATATTTTTATTCAAGATTTTAGTTTTAAAACTAAATTAAAATAAAATAATATTAATTTTTAGAGGTTGGTAAATATTTTATAAGTGAATGTTAGAGTGAAAGAAAATAAAAAAGGGATAAAGTTATTGAACATATAAAATATTATTTGAACATGTAAACTAAAATTTATCTTTAAAAATAAAATTATTTGTATTTTTTATATAAATTATGTAAAAAAAAGGTTACAATGTTTTGTAAACTATTTTAATATTTCTTTAAATTTGATGCTTGTAATAAAGAAAAATCACCTTTTTGGTCCTTTTTTAACAACATACATACAAACTTCAAAAAAAATTTAACAATGATATACTATATTAATGGTTAACTTCTCATGTAAATAACTTTAAAAAAGAATCAATATTGGCAGAGAATCTCAATTTAAAGTTCAAAATTCATAGAAAAGCCTTATATATCAAAATATTTAAGGAAGCAAGATATTATAATGAAATTAGTGCCATTTGAAAGTTCATATATACTACTTTTAATGTATTATAAAAAAGTTGTATTTTGTTAAAATCTTTATCATGTTCAAATCTAATGAAGATATGGTGCATTTCATCTATAATCAAAAATAGTCCGAAATTTTTTAGACTATGATGTTGTTGATCATGTGACCTTTAACCAATAAAATTTCATTCACGTGATAACAATTTATATAAGACGAAACCAAATTTACAAAGTA